AGCAGCCTTGTCTCTTGTGATCCAGCCACATTACTTTTAAACTTTGCAGAGAGAAATGTGACTGCAATCCAAGCCCTAGGTCCCAGGAGGCCCCAGTCCCTTATCCAAAGCCCCACAGTTCTGCATTCTTTGTGAGCACAACTGGGATGGGATTCTACAGATCTGCCACTTGGACTACACTGAGCGGTTTTGCTGAGCATTGTTCAGATTGCCACCTCTCTTCCTATGCCTTGCCTTAGGGGAGAGTTGACAGAAAAGGCATGGAGAACCCGGGTTTTGTGAAGCTGGAGATGTTCACATGTGAGGCTTACAAATGTATGAACATACTCAGTGTTGAATGGTTATAATCAGGTGCTCTGGGGGGATCAGAATTCTCCCTGGATCTGGTTGCCTAAAATCTATAGATGATGTAACCAATGCTTGGCAAAGCACCCACCCTTTCCTGCTTGGAGATCTGAATGCAGTTACCTGGGGCTTTTTAGTTTCAGCCAGCAGGATAGTCAGTTCAGGAGAAGCTTGAATGTTAACTTACTTCCCAACTCTCCTCAGAAGACAACATTAGACTCCATTATATGTACTTGTTTTGAATGAGGGAATTTATGGACCCAGAATTCTTTGTTCTAGTGCTTTTTTTTTTAAACCCTGAGACAGGGTTTCTCTGTGTAGCCCTGGATGTCCTTGAACTAACTCTGTAGGCCAGGCTAGCCTTGAACTCACAGAGGTCTGCCTGCCCCATCTCCTGAGTGCTGGGACTAAAGCTGTGTGCTACCATGGTGGCCTGCTCCAGTGCTTCTTGTTGGCCGCTGCCACCTGTCTGACAATTCTGTCATTTTTTTACCTGGGATGTTAGTGTGTCACCCCATCATGGTCCCTTTCTGCCATTTTCCGCCCCTTCAGGGCTTGGAGGACCCAGTCTTAGAGCGTCTGCTGGAACGGCCAGGCTTGACAGCCTTTCTCTATGTCCTTCCCAGGTCTTGGTCATGGAGCCAACCCCCTGCAGTGCTCTTGACGTGCAGATGCTAGGCTGTAAAGACAGCACATGTGTAGAACCTGTTCTCACCACAGGGAGCAAACTCTTTATATTTGGCCAGCATGACAGTGTCCACCCATTTGGGGGACTTTTTGGCTTCTTGGGCTCTTTGATGGAGGCCATGACAGTGTTCACCCATTTGGGGGACTTTTTGGCTTCTTGGGCTCTTTGATGGAGGCCATGACAGTGTTCACCCATTTGGGGGACTTTTTGGCTTCTTGGGCTCTTTGATGGAGGCCATGACAGTGTTCAACCATTTGGGGGACTTTTTGACTTCTTGGGCTCTTTGATGGAGGCTATGACAGTGTCCACCCATTTGGGGGACTTTTTGGCTTCTTGGGCTCTTTGATGGAGGCTGCCCTGATGGTTTATGGTCTTTTACCATAACTCCAGGACTGAGCAGCCTGTGTGCTGACAGCCAGGGGCAAGAGGCTAGACTGCATTGTATCATAAGAGCAAAGGTTGGAGGTGTGATGTGAGCCTGTCTTAAACAGACTTTACAGACATGTGGAGTACAAGATCTCTTCCTGCATCATGTGGTCTTGGTAGGGCTCTCAGGAAGATGGCTTCCTTCCTTCCAGGGACTGTCTCAGAGAATTCAGTTTTCAGTGCCATTCACAGCAAGGGCTCTACCTTTGAGCTATATTCCCAACCTAGGGATTGTCTTAGTTATGTTTCCATACAGTGGGGAGAGGGGAAGTGGAGGGGGAAGTGAAACAAAATAAAGGGTGTATTGAGGAACGAGCTGTCATTGTCTGTAAACAGATGTTTCTCTCCTGCCCGTTTGCTCCCAAATACCTGGCAGCCACTTCCCAAATTATCACACAGAGGCTTATATTAATTATAAATGCTCGGCCGGTAGCTCAGGCTTATTACTAACTAGTTCTTACACTTAAATTAGCCCATAATTCTTATCTGTGTTTAGCCATGTGGCTTGGTACCTTTTCTTAGTCCAACATTCTCATCTTGCTTCCTCTGCATCTGGCTGGTGGCTCCTGACTCCACTCTGCCTACACTTCCTGCCTGGCTACTGGCCAATCAGCGTTTTATTAAACCAATTTGAGTGACAAATTTTTACAGTGTACAAGAGGATTATTCCACAGTGATTATCTGTGAATTTGAAGCCAGCCTGTTCTACATAGCAAGTTCCAGGTCATTCAGGACTACATAGTGAGACCCTGTCTAAAGAGAAAAGAGGGAGCTGGAACAACAAAAGTAGGAAGGCAAGCTGGTGAGATGGCTCGGTGTGTAAAAGCTGTGTGTACTCGTGGTAAAGCCTGACAGGCTGAGTTCAATCCCCACACCGATGGTAGGAGAAAGAAAACCGACTCTCAAAAGTTGTTCTTTGGCCTCCACTTACTTGCAATAGCATGTGTGCATCTGTGCTTACACACACACCACTTACACAGAATTATTTAGATTTTAAATAAATGAGCTGGGTGACAGTGGCACATGCCTTTAATCCCAGCACTGTGAGTTCAAGGCCAGACTGTTCTAACAGAACAAGACCCAGGACAGGCACCAAAACTACACAGAGAAACCCTGTCTCAAAAAACCAAAACAACCAGGAAAGGTGCAAAGCTACACAGAGAAACCCTGTCTCGAAAAAACAAAAAACAAAACAAAACAAAAACAACAAAAAAATTTTTAAATAAACAGACTACTTTAAATATTCCTTCTAACGTTATTCTTACAAAAATTGGTCATCAGGTGGTCAAAAGCAGAAGAAGAGATAGTAAAGCTAGGTGTGGGTGACAGAAACTGCCCTGAGATGGAGGAAGAAGGATAAACTAAAGAAATCATTAGCCTGGTGTTTGTCTAGATGTCTTAAAACCCATTCAGCTTGTCTGAATGCCTAGGTTTTACAGAAGCCAGCTCCTGGCTATTCTAGTTTCATTTTGTAATGTTACTTGTAGCTAAATTACAATATTTATCTTCCTCTCTGGCCGACTCAATTTTCTATATTTATTTAAACATTCTAATTTACCTAAAAAATAGTCTCTATTCATTTTTGGGGGGTAGTATTGGGAGATTGGCTTCTACTCTTTCATTATAAAAATAATCTTACAAAATAAAGGATAGTAAGCATTACACTCAACCTCATTCAAAATTCTCTCAGGGTGTTTACTGATATTTATGATATCTTTATACAGCTGTGGTCAGTATCTATGTACTTATTTTAATCTTATTTTCTGCTTTAATGAGAGCACCAATTTGTCATCGTAGGTCAATACAAAGCATTTCATCTTAATTATCTATCTCGAGCCTTTCTGACTTAATTGATTCTAATATTTATAGGAAGCACAGTTCATCTGTATCTATTCTGTCAGGGTAGACCATGTGTTTCACTTTCTTCTCAAAATGATACCCCACTATTTTCAATAACTGTTCCAAAACAAAGTTCATGAAGTAGAGGCCATAAAGTGAGTCCTCCCAAGTAGTCCCAAGAGTTTTTCCTGTTGTTTGTTTTTAGAGACAGGGTATTGTGTAGCCCAGCTGGACGTCACACTCTCTGTGCAGTCAAAGATGACCTTGAACTCCTGATCCTCCTGAGTTCGGGGATTACAGGCATGTGCCATCATCATATTAAAAAAAAAAATTGTGGGGTTTAGAGCAAGGGCTCAGAGCCTGATGGCCTGAGTTCAGTTCCTAGAGCTCACAAAGCGGCAGAAGAGAGCACTCCCACAGGGTGTTCTCTGACTTCTATGCATGTGCACATAGTGTGTACATATACACTTGGGCATGCACAAACACAAAAATAAATATAGAAAAAAGATTAGGGAACAGCAAGATGGTTCAGTCCTGAAAATTATCCCCTGAGCTCCAAACATGTGCAGTGGCATGCATGTGCGTGCACTCATATACACACACATGATAGACACAACACAATAATAACTTTTAGAAAAAGATTAACCATCAGGAGTTCATCTGAATCTTGCCTCCCTCCTGGACATGCAAAGGATGCTGTCTGGTAGTGACTATGGACTAGAAATACTTTCCTTTGGCCCAACAATAGGAAGCTGGTCAAACCAAGTCAAGTTTAAAGCATAAGTAACGCAAATTCTTTTGCTACTTCTATTGTACACCGTTGTTGTTTAAAGGTGTGAAGCGGTGGTGGCGCATGCCTTTAATCCCAGCACTCGGGAAGCAGAGCCAGGCAAATCTCTGTGAGTTCGAGGCCAGCCTGGTCCAGGATAGCGAGGACTGTTTCACAGAGAACCCTGTCTCCAAAAACAAAAAATAAATAAATAATAAAAATAAATAAATAAGTAAGTAAATAAATAAATAAAGAGTCGCAATGGGTAAAGTGTCAGAGGATGAGCATATCGCTAGCTAGGCTTTCAAATTCTTATGCGAACAAATCCCTTCTAAAATATTAATTCAGGGCTGGAACTGCAGCTAAGGGACATAGCTCTGACTTAACACATAAAAGGCCCCGGGTTTAACCATCGGCTACGCAAAAGTTACAGTAGGAAGGTTTTCAAAGTTACAGAGGAGGCCTAGTATAGACAGTATGAACTGTGATTAGTCCCCGCTGCTGCAAACCCACCAGAGGGCGCTCGTTCTCCGTCGATTTAATCCCCAGCCTCTCATTAGTGACAGAAAATTCAGTTAAAAGTCATCTCTCAGAGTCGGGGAGTCTTTCACGTTTAATGCACAAATGCTTCCCAAGAACTTACTTAGCAGCCAGTCGCGGGAGTAGAGAGTCATAAAATACAGGGGTGAACCAGGGGTGGTTTCTACTAGGGGCGCAAGGTATGGCAAAGACTAATAGCAAACACCGGGGACGATAAGGTGGCGGGAGCGCCGGGGACCCTGACGCTGTGATTTCGACAGTGGCTCCTAGCGCAGTCCTTTAGATCTCCTGGACAGCTCCCACTCTACCTCGGGGGGGACGACCGCCGCCCCAAGGCCATGTCAGTCACAGCTAGGGACCTCCCCCGAGTGCCTCCGTCCTCCGCTAGGCAAGCCTCCTCGCGCCTTTTCCAGAACCTTCTGCAACCCTCGTCGGTTCACTTCTGCTCCCAGGTCAACACTTAATTTGTCCTCCAGCCAAGGGACTGCCTAGTACTACCATCAGCACCTGCCTGTTCTCGTTCTTCCCTGGCTTAAAACCCGCGGGCTTTTCCTTTTGAACGCCTAGTTTCCCGTTCCGATTCTCGCGACAGTTCCGAAACCTCGCGTGAAACTTGTTTCCCGTCCCCTCGGAGTTTGGGGTGGTCGGTGGACAGCTCTCGTCCACCTTCGTCAGAAACCCTCTGGCCAGGAGCGGCGTCTGTGCGGACGGAACGCTCCTTTGAGGAGGGCTTGGTGGAGTTCGGACCCGCGCGACAAGGGGAGGGCCTCAGGCCGCAATAGGGAGCCGGGCCGCTGCGGGCCCCGCGCGCACGCGCACTCAGGACCTATTACACCTCCTGGGCGGGGCCTAGACAAGCCCCGCCCCTCCCTTGCCAGAAAACCGGGTTTCCTACCCTGGGAGGATTGCCGCTTCTGGAAGCTGTTTAGGGGCTGGCAGGGGCGGGGCCTGCCTTTTTCAGGGTGGTGGGCGGGCCTCCGGGGATGCTCTGCTTCCTGCCCCCAGCCCAAAGTGCCACCGTGGCGTTGGTGGCGGTCTCCAGACTGAACACTTTTGGCCCTGAGATCCTCAGATTTGCAACCTGTAATCCGGACCCCGAGAGACGCCCTACGGGGAGTTGCCCGCCGGCCTCTCTGCGGCCGCTAGCCAGTTCCGACCTCTAATCACCAGGCTCCTCGCTGGTTCAAGCACCTGCCCTATGGTGGGCGGGAGGTGGCCAGATGTGGGATGGCAGATGGAAACGCTTATAGACTAGTCTGCGCCCGGTGGAGAAACTGGGTGGGCACAGCTGCACACTGTCCCCGGAGGAAGCCGGCCCTGGGCCCGCCCCCCAGAAGTGCCCATACATCAACGCAAACTTTCTTAGCAATAGAACCCCTTCCTTCTTCCCATTATGCATGCAGCTGTTTGCCGCTCTCAGGAACTAAATCAGATGAGACAGGACCTAGGGGTTCAGCCAACAGTTCGAGCTGCTCGGCTATTCCCACCCCTACTCTTCGTCCCCAGTTCTCACACCCTTGCTTTCCCAGCTTCGGGGTCTGGTTGCGGCTGCTCTGTGCACTCACTGTGACTTTGGGCTAGGGTGGAAGTACAAGGCCCAGGGAGGGTCTCTTTGCGACTGGATAAAATTATCGGCCTCAGAACCTGGGAAGAAGGCGGGTGGGTATTCGACGTCTGGGGGCGGAGAGAGGGGGCGGAGGAGCTCCCCTTTGAATCTTAGCCGGTGGGCTGCCGGCGATTCTCGACAAAAGCAGAGGTGGCTAGCGGGTCTGGCTGGCGTGCATGCAACTCTTTTCGTTCCTCTACCGTTCTTTAGGACTGGAAATCACAGCTGTTACGAAGGGCCTAATCCAAGGCACTAGGTGAGTCGCTGGGACTCCCCCATCATCAGCAGCCCACCCTGAACTTACTTCAGGTGTAGTTTTATACACCTCTGGGGCAATGGTGCATCAAAGTTGGGTGGTTTATGGAGAGGGTGCTGGTGTGTGTGTGTGTGTGTGTGTGTGTGTGTGTGTGTGTGTGTACGTGCATGGGTGTTAGGGACCATATCCCGAGCTTTATCACCCCTCCTCTCTTCACTCTCTATCCCCCAAGACCAGATCAATCAACTGGCATAATCCCCAGGGAGTAACCAGACACTTTGTTGGGGCTTCTAGTTGGCTCTAAGGTAGCAGAGGAAAGGGCAGTGTTAGCAACAAGCTTTTGTACGAGGAGCAGTGAGGCTGGTCTTTTCGAACTGGCTTTGTTTCTGACCTCCGGACCTGGCTTCCCTCTCCTGGCAGGGTGCCACCTACGCGCTGATGCCCCGAGTGCTCAAAGGGCTTCCAGCTAACCATGCTGCACCTACCTTGGCGCTGCCCCTGCTACTACTATTACTGCTGGTGGTGTGGACCCCGCTCCCCATTAGCGCGAGGCGGTCCACAGGGACTGATTACCTGCGGCGAGGCTGGCTGCGGCTACTAGCCGAGGGCGAGGGCTGTGCTCCCTGCCGGCCAGAAGAGTGCGCTGCGCCGCGGGGCTGCCTAGCAGGCCGGGTGCGGGATGCGTGCGGCTGCTGCTGGGAGTGCGCCAACCTGGAGGGCCAGCTCTGCGATCTGGACCCCAGCGCCAACTTCTACGGGCGCTGCGGCGAGCAGCTCGAGTGCCGGCTGGACGCGGGCGGTGACTTGAGCCGAGGAGAGGTGCCGGAGCCGCTGTGTGCCTGTCGCTCGCAGCGCCCGCTGTGTGGTTCCGACGGCCGTACCTACGCGCAGATCTGCCGCCTGCAGGAGGCCGCCCGCGCCCGGCCCGACGCTAACCTCACTGTGGTGCATCCCGGGCCCTGTGAATCGGGTACGCAAGCCCAGGGCTCTTTGTACCGGGACTCGGGCGTCCTAAAAGCACTCACTGCTCCCCGATCCCCGACAGGATTGGTCAGCAGAGAGAAAAGATGAGTAAGCCCGAGAGCCTCAAAGGCTGCCAACTAAAACGCAGGTCGAGATTTGCGGCAGGTTTAATGTAATGAGCTGCCTGAGAACCAGACTGGCAGGGACCAGCCTTCCGAGGGAACAGGCATATAGCCAATAGCTGGGTCAGAACTGAAAAGACCCCAAGACAACCCCCCGCCCCCCGCCCCGAGACTTTGCCCAGACTGCTGGAGCCCTGGCAGAGGGATTTTACAGCCTGTTAACCACAACTCCCGCCTCTCCCTTTTCTCTTGCGTTTAGGGATTAGTTGAAAGGAAGATGGCTTCTTGCTTTCTGTCGCCCCTCATCCTTGGGGTTGCGGGGGGCGGGAGGATGTTCAAGACTGAGGTTTTCTTTGGCGGCTCTCACTTCCTCAGCCTCCACCTAATGAAGTCTAGCTGGGCTGCAGCAGTTGCAGTGAAAACAAACGAGCCACTAGGGGGTCCCACCAGTTTCCCCGGTGCAACAAGGTGGTTTCAGGTTCCCCTGCCTCGGCACTGGTCCCACCTCCACCCGCTCAGAGCCCAGACCGTGTCACATTCTCACGACATTTGGAATGTGGCTGCTCTTCAGGCCTTTGGGAACTGGGCCTGCTTAGAAAAGGGGAAGGAGGGGAGAGAGGTGTTGGTTACACAGTCCGCAGGAAAGGGGCCCCAGGGTAGAGTGAGGACAGGGGAGCAGTCCAGGACAGAGTGTGGTTGCTCAGCTAAGCGACGGGTCTGTAGACATGTTTGTGCAATTTACACACTGCTCCGTGTACCTGTGCATCTCTGTTCCTGCTTTTGCGCTCTTGTGTGTATCTGCACCTACATTTGTCTGGACCTGTGCTTGTGGAATATTTTCTTTGCAGATGTGTGTTCACCTTGGCATGAGTTGTGTGTGTTCTGCCCTAAACATATACGCATTAATTTGTAAATTGTGTTCTTGCTGAGCTGGATACAGCTTCCTGTTCTCAAGCCTCACCCTCGCCTCCCCCTGCCCCAGAGCCCCAGATCCTATCACAGCCTCACAATATTTGGAATGTGACGGGACAGGATGTGATCTTTGGTTGTGAGGTGTTTGCCTATCCCATGGCCTCCATTGAGTGGAGGAAAGATGGCTTGGACATCCAGCTGCCCGGGGATGACCCCCATATCTCTGTACAGGTAGGAACAGGGAGCAGGGGCATACTCTCGGGAAACCTAGGGCTTCCCCAAATGACCTTGCTCACAGCACATCTGGCTCCAGTTTAGGGGTGGACCTCAGAAGTTTGAGGTGACCGGCTGGCTACAGATTCAGGCTTTGCGTCCTAGTGATGAAGGTACCTACCGCTGCCTTGCCCAGAATGCCCTGGGCCAAGTGGAAGCCTCTGCTACCCTGACAGTGCTCACACCAGGTAAGGGAGCCCCAAGCTCTGGGCACCAGGAGGATGGAGTGTATTAGGACCCTTGAATTCGTGTAAGGAGCAGTCTGCATGGGAATGTTGTGCCCCACAAGCGTAGCTTTCCCACCCCCTGAGCTGTGTCTGCTTCGTCTGGGCCCCCTCTGATCTTTCTCCTTCATCACATATGTTCGCAGACCAGCTGAACGCCACAGGATTCTCCCAGCTGCAGTCACTTAATTTGGTTCCCGAGGAGGAGGCAGAAAGTGAAGAGGATTACTACTAGGTCCAGATCTCCGATTTGTGGGTGTGGGTGGATATGGTATCCACCCCTGGTGTTGAGAAGACGTGGTGGAGAAGACTGGAAAGGGCGAGCAGGGTCCTTTCATGGATTGTTTAATGCTCGTTGTAGCCTCAGTTTACCTTTTCTCAAAACTCATCTTCTGGAAGCTTTCCACCTCACCGAGTTCCTAGGGACACTTCCCAACTGTAGTCCTTTCTGTGGTGTGAGCACAGTAGAACCCACTTAGTTCAGTGCAGTGGGAGGGGGGGGGTCAGCCATGTCTTACACCTCTCCAGAGGATAAAGCCCACCTGGCATATGACTAGACACAGTGGGCACCAATAAAAAATAGTCAAACGAGCCACGCGCTGCAACAGTTCTGACAGATGTGCACGTGGAGACCAGACATCCCTGAGTGGCCTCCCACTCCAACAGGAGGACTCCGGCATCCAGGCATCCAGTGATACAAGCCCTAAGCACAGGCCTGCTCTGCTAAAGAAGGCTTGCGCTCAGGCCTATACTGCCCTCTCCTGTCCTCTAGTGAGGGAGCCTCGAGTCGTCTGGTTGGAGGGAGGGCAGAAGTTATCCCCCCTACCCCGTTGGGATAGATTGATTACCTGTTCCCCAGTCCTTATTCTCATCTCCTCCCCAGGCAGAGTGGGGAAACAGGTCTATGTGAGTGGGACCCCAATATGAACGTTTAAACTGAGTGGTTGGGGCGCCCGTGTTAGCCACACCCTTCCTCTGCTCCCTCATTTCCTTCCCATTTCCCAGCTGAACCCCAAAGTCATAGTAACCCTATTTCCAACTGTCCCAGCGATGACCTGTCTTATCTGATTTGAAGTCCTTCACAAAAGCCTCTTTGGCCTAAGTCTCTCCTTCTATTCTCTGGACCTAGCCCAGGGACACGGAGGAGCTTATGAGATTGTCTGAGGGTAGGTTGGAGTTAGTCATCAGGCCAAGATGCCGTGTGTGGAGAGCGACAACCTCCTACGCCCCCGGCTCCTCTTGGAGCTGGCGCCACCGCGGGGAGGGACGGCATTTGGCTCAGCGTCTGCGTTTGCTTTGTGGGACCCAACGCAAGCTGCTGGCCCCCCTGGGAGGGGCGTGGCCGGGAACCCCATCTTCGGGGCTGGCCACCCTTCTAGCGTGTATGCACTGCGTTTTCAACAGCTTCTGCCTGGCGGCGGCCACTTTTCCAATAGGGTTCTCACGGTGGTCCCCGGTGGTCGTGCTCCGCTGTTTGGGCCCAACACTTGCAACGAACTGCAAGGGAGTAGGAGAGTAGATCTGGGTCGAGCTGGCGAGCATCTTGCCGTGTGATCTCAAGAAGGTCCGCTCCCCGCTGTGAGAGGGGACCTGGGTCTGGGTCCCTGCGTCCATCGTAGCTTGTTCTTCGCTCGGTGGGAGCTCCAAGGTGCCCCTGTGGCTTGCCTGTCTCCTCTCACCCACCTGCAGAGCACAGGCTGACTCTTCGCCCAAACCCGAAATCTGTCGCGTGGGCAGACTCTGTAGGGGGTTACCTCCTTGACACCTCAGTTTCCCCCTCTGCCGCCTCGAGGGTTTGGGCCCTGAAGCCTGGAGTGGAAGGACGCGCCGCGGCGGCCCACCGCCTTCATCCTCCCCGCACCCCGCCTCTGCCGCAGCGGACGGGGTTTAATAATGTCGCCGGAAAGTGACACGCGATTTATTATTAAAGTAATGCGGGCGCGGGGACGGGAAAGGTTTAATAAACGCGCTGAGATGCCTAGGATTATTCACCGCAAATAAATGAGAGCGCGGGCGGTGTTTTAATAAATAATTTCCCGCCGCTCCCGAGGGAGCAGAGGGGAGGGGGACGGGGGAGCCGAGCGGCTGCTGGCACTCCCGGCTCCGCAACCCCACGGGTTCTGAGCCTTCTTCACCACTCTGCTCACAGCCGCTGTGTGCTGCTCGTGGAGAGCCGAACCAGAGAGGCCCAGGCCTGGAGGTGGGAGATGCCCTGTGCACCACCACCCTACCCCCAGCGCCCACCTCTGGGAGTTGAAGTTGGCTCAAGGTGTAGCAAGTGAGTTCCATTTTGCGCCCACCTGGACGTTGGGAGACAGACCAGCAGGATTAATACGAATCAAGCCCCTCCCAAACTTGAGTCCTGGCCTCCGGACCTTCGGGGTGGGCTGTTCTTTTGCTTTTGGCTAACCCTGGCTGCGTTTCTCCCCCGTTCAGGGCAGGGTGTGCGTGGAGAAAATTGTATGTACAGGTGTGTGTGAGAGAGACGTGTGTGCTAAATAAAGGCACCGACCCCATCACCGTGATTATAACACGGACACTGTTCTGGCCGCTTCTGCTTAATAAGGTTCTAGGGCTCTCTCCTCCACGCTGGTCAGAATCGAGGGTGTGGGGCTTAGCCAAGTCTCTCACTGTCACACACACACACACACACACACACACACACACACACACACACACACACACACACACACACACACGCACACACGGGTCGATCTGAGGACTGGACGGAACTGGAGATTCCAGGGGGAATCCGCCCATCCAATAGAAGCCTGAAAGCTTGAGAGAAAAGGGAGAACTTGATTTTGAAGAGGCCAACATTTTAGGGACCGAGGACGCGCTCACAAAACAGCTGAAGGTGATGGGGGTAGACTGTACATCTAACACCGAGAATGGTGTCTGTAGTGGGGAAAGCGACCTCTCTGGCAAGTTTTAGGCGTACAGGCGCCGGAGAGAGGCTGCCATCTAGTGGATATTTCTGGTAGTGGCAGCTGGGCCTGGGCTAGGGGCCTTGAGAGTTTTCATTAAATTGGAAAAATTCGTGTGCAAAGATGCTTCACGGGAGGGCTCAGCGATTAAGAGTACTAGCTGCTCTTCCAGAGGACAAGGGTTCAATTCCCAGCCACACCACGTGACAACTCATAACTGTCTGCAACTCCAGTTCCAGGGGATCCACACCTTCACACCGACATACATAGAGGCAAAACACCAATGAACATAAAATAAAAACAAATAAATTCTACATAAAAGGCTGTAAAAAAAAGATTCATTAGGGTGTGGTGGAGCACGCCTTTAATCCCAGCACACGCAAATCTCTGTGAGTTCGAGGCCACCTTGCTTTACATAGTAAGACCTGGTCTCAAAAAAAAAAAAAAAAAAAAAGAAACAAGTATATATACATGTGGGTAACATTGAGTTGTATAGACACATTTGTATGCATAGGCATTGCATATATGGATATATTAGCATGCATTTCTTTGCAAATATGTGTTCATTAAATGTCATTATTTCTATGAACATCTGTTACATAACCAGGACTGTTATTAGAACTGGGATTATATCATGGGAGAAAAATAGTCTTTTCCTCAAGGAGTTTCATTCTGGTTTAAGACATGTGCAAATGCACACATATTTACATGAATTAAATATGGGTGTACTTTCAGGATTATGTGCACAGTACATGTAACTGTCTGCTCATGTATGTGTGAAGGGCAGACAGGCTGCACTCTGGTGGGCCAGAAAAGTCCCTGGATTTTTATTCAAAAACTTAGATCCTGGGCCGGTGAGATGGTTTAAGGGGATAAAGGTGCTCGATGTCAAGCCTGATGACCTGGGATTGATCTCTGGAATCCGAGTGAAGTAAACTCCACAAAGTTTGCCTCAAACCTCCACATGTGCGGTGCTCATCTCCGCTCACAAACATGCACACATGCAAGAATAATTAAGAACACGGGTCCTGGGGCTGCAGAGATGGCTCAGAGGTTAAGAGCACTTGCTGCTCCTGAGGCGGACCCAGATCTGGTTCCCAGCACCCACGTGGAGGCTCACAACCATGTGGAACTCCAGCCCTGGAGGATCATATGCTCTCTTCTGGCTTCCATGGGCACTGCATGCACATGGTGTGCTTACATGCATGCAGGCAAACACCCATATATGTAAAATACATAAAACCAAAACAAAATGGAGGTTCTGTTGCCTAGAACCCCGCCCTGGGTGTGCAGACATGAGGAGACAGAGAAAGAAGTGCTGAAGATACATTGGTTACCTCAGAATATATTTATGAGTTTCCTCAGCCCTCTGAGTGACCAAACGCGCCCCCCTCTGACATTTATGTATTATTTTAAAAATACATATATGATGGGCTGGAGAGATGGCTTAGCAGTTAAGAGCAGTGGCTGCTCTTCCAGAGGACCTGGGTTCGAGTCCCAGCACCCATGTGGCAGCTCACAGCTGTCTGTAATTGCAGCTCCAGGAGTTCCGACACCTTCACACAGGCACCAATGCACATAAAATAAAAAATAAAATAAATTATTAAAAAATACGTGTATGAGTATTTTGCCGATACACCACGTGCATGCCTGGTTTCCTCAGAGGCCAGAAGTGGGCATCAGATGTCCTGAAACTGGAGTTACAGATGAGTGTGAGCTGCCATGTGGGTACTGGGACTTGAACCCAGGTCCTCTGGAAGAACAGTCAGTGCTCTTACCTGCTGAGCCATCTCTCTGGCACACACTCTCCCTTTCTTTCTTTCTTTCTTTCTTTCTTTCTTTCTTTCTTTCTTTCTTTCTTTCTTTCTTTCTCTCTTTCTTTTTTTGGTTTTTCGAGACAGGGTTTCTCTGTGTAATTTTGGTGCCTGTCCTGGTTCTCACTCTGTAGACCAGGCTGGCCTCGAACTCACAGAGATCCACCTGGCTCTGCCTCCCGAGTGCTGGAATTAAAGGCATGCGCCACCACCGCCAGCTCCCCTCTTCTTTCTTAAGAAGGAGAAGCTATAGAAGCCTGTTTGAGGCCGGGCGGTGGTGGCGCACGCCTTTAATCCCAGCACTTGGGAGGCAGAGCCAGGCGGATCTCTGTGAGTTCGAGGCCAGCCTGGGCTACCAAGTGAGTCCCAGGAAAGGCGCAAAGCTACACAGAGAAACCCTGTCTCAAAAAACCAAAAAAAAAAAAAAAAAAAAAAAAAAAAAAAAAAAAAAAAAAAAGAAGCCTGTTTGTGGTAACCAAAGTTTATTCAGGTCACAGCTCACTTCCTCTCAAGGCAAAGCACCTTCAAGAAAGGGTCACAGGCAGGAGGTGGGCTTGAGGGCAGTGTGGGGGTCACTTAGAGACTGGCAAGGATCAGGTCCGAAAGATACTAAGTTTTGGAAGTTAGCTACAGATCAGGAGGGGGATGCTTGGGGAGGGATGGGGTAGTTGGATTGAGAAGGGCCTGAGGGAAGAAATGAGGCTAGGTTCAGGGACTGAGTTAGATTCGGCCCAGCAGAGGCTGGAAGCCAGCTCAGACAAGTCACCCTCCCCTCTTCCCACCACTTCCTTTCCCCTTGAGGGGGCCCCTAACCCTCCCTACCCTTTTCTGTGCTTAAGCTGGGATCCAGATGCACTGGGTGCAGAAAAGGAGAGCTTTAAGGCTTGGGGCTTAGCCTAAATTAGGTGACTCACTGGAGGGTAAGGTGGAGCAGACTCTCAAGACCAGTGTTCCATGAAACATTGTCCCCACTCTTGGGTCATTTCCTACCATGCTGTCACTACAGTTCTGGTCTAAACTCAATCCAGGGGACTCAAACAAGGGCGGGGTATGGCCCTGGAAGAAAACATAATCCCCATGAGTGCACCCTTAGGGCTGAATCGGGGCAGAGTTTCCTGGTTCCCTCTTCCTTTTTTTTTTTTTTTTTTTTTGCTACAAGGATGCTGCCCAGGCTCAGAGTCAGGCACTACCCACCTTTGCTCGATTATTTCATCCTAAACCAGAGGTTTTGTCTCCTCACTGCTTCTCTTCCGTGTAGTCCTGCCTCTTCCTAGGGTTGAGGTCTTTGGGGTGGGGGTGGGAGTGAGGGGTAAGGACAGGGTCTCACTGTGTAGCCTTGATTGCCCTAGATCTCACTATGTAAACCAGACTGGCCTTACTCATCAAGGTCTGCCTCCCGAGTGCTGGGATTGCAGGTGGGGGCCACCACACCCAGTCTGAGCGTTGAGACCTTGGCTGGGCTTTTTCCTCAAACATCAGGAGGGGTTACAGATGCAGGCTCAATTTATTCTTGGCAATTTCTCTGCCATCCATCAACTGAAGTCTCTCAGGACAGAGTGGATAGCTATGAAATGCCAGCTTTAGGTCAACTGTGTCCCACCATCAAGTGTCATCCCATCCACGGAGTGTAGGGCACCTTGAGAGGCGGGACAGACTTCAAGGAACTGAAAAAAACACCTGAGTGCCCTAGGAGAAAAGAAAGAACCCCTAAGCGAAGCCGTGAGGGGCTAAAGGAAGGGATGGACCTTCCAGGGATGACGGCTGAGGCCTCTAGGGACAATGGCTTCCTGTCTCTCATCTGCTCCCTGTCCTCGGTAACTGAAGCAGGGTAGAAGGTCCGATAGTTCTTGGCTAAACTGGCCTCTCAGTGACCCAGGTGCTGACTTGGGTTTCTCCAGGTCTCCTGCCCCTCCCCCATTGTGGGCACTGGCATTAGAGGGGCTGAATTCTGGGACAGCAGCAGGGATCTCCAAGGGCATAGGCTCTGAAGGGTAGAGATGGGTCTAAGGGAGAGCCGGCGAGTGGCTGTGGGGTCATATGATGGGTCTGAGCCTCCAGTTCTGCTGCGTTTTAGTTCATGCCTTGGGACAGCTTCTTTTTTTCTTAAAACATTTTAAAAAGAGAGAGAGAGAATGTGTGTGTGTGTGTGTGTGTGTGTGTGTGTGTGTGTGTGTGTGTGTCTGCACATGAGCATGCAGTTGCTCATAGAGGCCAAAAG